GCGACAGTTTCACAGATCGCAGCCCCCCAGGGATGGCGAGGTCTAATTTGGGTCCGCGCGTCGCCCTCACTGTGCTGGGCCCCCCAGCAGGCCTCGAAAGTGGCGACAGTTTCACAGATCGCAGCCCCCCGCAGGCAAGACAGAAAGAGGCAGGAAAGAGGCGGGAGGCGGGAGGAGGAAGGACGCGACCACACTGCTCTATTCAAAACGAATACCCAACCAAGGAGGGTTGGGAAAAAGTCTTACTAACACTAATAGTACTAGCAATGATCGTCCCACTGGTACTATAAGCAACATTACTAGTACCAGTAGCAAATGTAATCAAAATCGCAATCGCAATGGTAGTAATGGTATTGGTCGTAGCAGAAATAATGGTAATAGAACTAGAAGTAGTAGCATTGGTCGTAGTCGTAGTGGCCGTGGTAATAGTACGAGTCGAAATCGTAGTCGTGGTAGTCGGTAGCATGTGACGCAGTCGTAGAAATAGTGGTTCCAGTATTCGTAGTAGTAGTAGTGGTGATAATAGTATGAGTAGTGGTGTTAGTAGTAGTAATAACAGTAGCCGTCGTCGTGGCACAAGTAATAAAAGCCGTCGTAGTCGTAGTAGTGGTACTAATACTGGTGATGGTAAACGTCGCAGTGGTGGTGGTATTCGTAGCCGTACTCGTAGTAGTACTAATGGTGGTAGTAGTAGTAGTAGTAGTAGTAGTAGTAGTAGTAGTAGTAGTAGTAGTAGTAGTAATAGTAGTAGTAGTAGTAGTAGTGGTAATAGTAGTAGCAGCAGTAGTGGTAGTAGTGGAAATAATAGTGGTCGTGGTCGTGGTCGTGGTCGTGGTCGTGGTCGTGGTCGTGGTAGTAGTAGTAGTAGTAGTAGTCGTAGTAGTAGTAGTAGTAGTAATAGTAGTAGTAGCAGAAATCATAGTAATACTAACTGTAGTGGTCGTACTAGTAGTAGTAGCAAACGTAATAGTAGTCGTAATCGTAGTAGTGGTAGTCGTATTGATATGTTTGAACGCATGAAGAAAACGACCCCCGCCCCCCCACATGGGAAACTTCAGACGAATAGGGCCGTCAAACGACGCGCGATGCGCAAGCGGAAACAGCTCGACGGTCAGCCATCAACAACGCAGCGCAATACAATGCGAACCGCGCGCTGCTGCTATGCGCATTGGCGTTTGAGCTTGACTTTGCCTTGTGTTGGCGCGCGGTCAATGCCCTAACTCATTCTGGATGCTCGCGCGCTCGTGCCAGAGCGAAAACCAAGGGGCGCGTCGGCCATTGGCGGCGCTGGCAAGAGCCCGGGGCGGCGCCCAAGGCCCGCCCCACGTTGGCGCGCATTCACATTGTTAGACCCACCGCGAAAACAAAGATCAGGCACCAGGCAAACAAAAAAACAATCAACTCTATACGAAAACGATCTGGGCTTCTCCGAAGCGAAGAGAAGTCTCGCGCGGGAGAACTCCAACTTGAGTTGATATAGGCGCCACATACAATTCGTATTGGAACAGTTGCCCCAAGAGAAACGCTCACGATCTAAACTATCCCGTCGGCGTTTTACGACGGGGCGACAGAGGCGGGGGCGGGCCCTCGGCTGGGCCAGCGGCGCTGCCGTGCGTCAACCTGCATGCCGCGGCCGTGGCACGCGCGGCCCTGGGAATGCCAGCGCGGGCGCGGCCACGTCGACTGGGCCCAAGACGTCGCCGCGCGCGCGGCCCCCCCTGCGGCAGCCGGCAATGACGTCGCCGACAGGGCGCCTACACTTACGCACATTCGCCGTGAATGCAAAACGCTGTCATGTAAAATCCATGGTTGTGGGGGCTGCGGTTGGTTTCCCACTGTTCGGTGATGTGTACTATTAGTTGAAGTAGTGGTAGTAGTGGCAGCAGCGTAAACATAGTAGTCGTAGAAGTAGTCGTAGTAGTAGTAAGAGTAGTAGAAGTAGTAGTCGTAGTAGTCGTAGTAGTAGTAGTAGTAGTAGTAGTAGTAGTAGTAGTAGTAGTAGTAGTAGTAGTAGTAGTAGTAGTAGTAGTAGTAGTAGTAGTAGTAGTAGTAGTAGTCTAGTAGTAGTAGTAGTAGTAGTAGTAGTAGTAGTAGTAGTAGTAGTAGTAGTAGTAGTAGTAGTAGTAGTAGTAGTAGTAGTAGTAGTAGTAGTAGTAGTAGTAGTAGGTCGATCCTCCACCCCGTGTTTACCACAGAAGTGCTTGGCGTGCCGTCTTGAACGGCGTTGTGGCTGTTCCAGAGCGCTTCAGGTGGTGCTCGGCCGACCCACTTGGCACGCGGAATGCCGCACAACGACCTTCATCGTCAGTGGCAACGGGGGGAACTAGCGCAGGGGGGAGGATCGAGCGAACGAGCTGGAGTCGGCGAAGCATCGCCGATAACTCGGCGATTGGCCCCCGATAGCGAAACCGCACGCTCCTGGGCAGGGTGGGCTCGCGGGCCTCCGTCGGCGATCAGAAGACGATTGGGAGTCGAGGCATCCCCCCCCCCCGCTGAGCCCATCCCCATCCCTTGACGGGGCCCCTGCGCTGCCCCTGACTTCCCGCTCCCTGGTTACTCGAGCCACAGCTCGAGTTCTCGGCGCCCGCTCGCGGGGCGAACCGGGCACCCTTGGAAAGCCCTCGCCGCGGCGCAGCCACGGAGGGCACCCCGAGGCTGGCAGACCGCCGAGAGCCCACAGAAACGCCCGAACACCTGACACATCGACAAGCTCCCCCCCCCCGCCCCCCCCTGAGCCAATCCCCCTCCGACGTTGCCCCTCAGATGGCAGTGAGCGGCCACGTCGGCAATGACAGGGCGATGGACAAAACCAATAGGTACCACTACCGCCACTCCCCGGAGCTCTCTTCGGGTGCGCGCTGACCAAGACTTCGAGGCGAATCCAGCCGTGGCGACGAGGGCCTCCCAGGAAGTCCCACAAGCGAGGAATCAGCTCACGTAGCTGATTTTCCCAGCGCCTCCCGGCGCCGCCGGGAGGCGCCCATGTATCGAGGAATGGGCCCGGCGGCGGGGCCGAAACCAGCTGCATGCAGCAGCTTTCGTACCCCCACCCTTTTCCCTATCCCCCCCTTCGTTCGGCCCGAGAGAGCAGGGTGGCGGTGTCGCTATGAGCCCTATGAGCCCTACGAGCCCTATGAGCCCTATGAGCCCCATGGGCCCTATGAGCCCTATGAGCCCCATGAGCCCCATGAGCCCTATGGGCCCCATGAGCCCTATGCGCCCTGTGAGCCCTACGCTGCCCCTCCCTCCTCCCGAGGGCCGATGCATGCCCTGCACGAGCCCGCCCCCGCCGCGAGGAGGCCGCCCCCCGGCGGCGCGAGCCTCGGCGGGCGGGGCGGGGGGCGCGGGGGGCGCGGGCGGCGGCTCCAGCTGGCCGACGAGGCCCACCCGCACGCGGGCGTCCTGCAGCAGCAGCCTGGGGCCGGGGCACCCCGGGGAGGGTCGAGGGAGCGGAGCCCGAGGATTTGAGCAGGGACCGAGCGTCCCGGCAGGTCCAGAGGCCTGCCACGACATGTTCCTAGAACCCAGAAAGGTTCTGAGAACCAAAGCAATGTTCTGAGACCGTAAGCCCGATGTGTTAAACAAGACAGCCCCATCCAGAAATGTTATGAGAACATCTTGTGCAGACCACAAGAGAATGTTAGAAAATGGTTTGGTAGGCCTATAGGCACGCCACGACGCTTCGCCACTGCTTGAAGGATGTTAGGCGGATATTTATCTATATCCACCGCCTGGGAACCGACGTCCTGATGCCCCAGCGGGCGGTGGATATGGACATTTTTCGGCCCCCTGTGGGCCCGAATATGTCCATATCCACCGCCTGCCGAGGCTCCGAAAACTGACCCTCCAGGCGGTGGTCGTGTATAGATTCCCGCCTCGGAGAGAGGGATGTCGTGCTGCGTCTCTTTGGGGGGCCTCGTCGGTCCCATCGCGAAAGCTGTCCGCGTCGCGTCCGTGTCGAATCCGTGCCGAACAGATCGAATCCGTGTCGAACCCGTCGGAATCACTACGCATCCGCGTCGAACCCATGTCAGAGTACAAGAGAAAACTGTCATTTGCAGGACAGGACAGGTTCCCCGGATATGCAGGACACAGAAGAGGACCTTACGCAAGATGACCTTGCGCGGGCCGCCAGCACGGCACGCCATATCGGAGACGGGCGCTGACGCGCGACCTTACGCCGGCAAGTTGCGCGCGAATGTCCGCGCAGACGAATCCGATTTCGCTTGCGTCGCTCACTTTAGCCATGCCCCTGCTCAAGCCCCAGCCCCACGAAGGGCCAGAGCGGCGGCATGGATGAAGCTCTGACCTCCAGGGCCACGTCTTTTGTCCATGCCCTGCTTCCCCTGGCGCCTAGAGAGTTGGAAGGCAGCAGCACGGGCATGGATCGAGCCTCGATCGTCGAATGATATCTGGAGGCTCTAACACACAAGGCGAAGCCAAAAGACGACCAGGACAAACATCGAAACAGGATCCGTCGGGGATCCCTGCGGTCCGCATGCTCCAGCGGATCTGTCGGGCGTCGCGGCCAGCCGTTCCAGAGCGCTCTGGAATTGTGGACGCCCGACATGGGCACGGATTAAACAGGTACGATGCCCAACAACAAACGTTGTCCAAAACCGGCAACGGCCGCTGTTGGGCAGGCGGCCTTCTGTCTCACATGGGCAACGTCCGTGGCGACGCCGACAGTGAGCCCTCCTAAAAATGGGCAGGAGCCGATGTCGGTCTTCGTGCCCATTCTTTCCGTACCCGTTTCGATCTTGCCGAGATCGATCGGGCGCGAATCCATTGGGGGGGCGAGAAATTGGGGGGGCGGGGGAGGGGAAGAAAGGCGCCTCTTTCGGGCCCGGAAGGCCCCCCTCCTGGGCCCCAAAGGGCTCCGTTGGGGGCCCCTCGGAGGCCCCCTCTCTGCAGCCCTCGGCTCGCCGCCCGAGCGTGGAGCGCTCTGCAACGCTCTGCAGAGGGCCCCGCATCGCTCGGCAGAGCTCTGGCCCTCGACCGCCCCGCCCGCCGTGCCCCGGGGTGCGCGGCGTGCGCGCTCCCGCAGGAGGCCCCGCGGGGCCGGGCCGAAGGGGCAGCGGCTCCCTCCGGCCCGGGCCGCGGCGCCGCGCAGGGCGGCGACGACGGCGCCCGCAGGGGGGGTGCGACCTGGACTTCTGTCGGGCCTGTCCCCCTACAGAGAGATTCTCGACGAAAAATAAAACATACCCCAGAAATGCACCACAAAGGCCAAAAAATACTCAAAACGTAGTCCCCAGACTATGTTTGGACTGTGTTCGGATTATTTTGAGGGTACCTTTTTTTTCTCGCCGAAAATCCCCCTGCAGGGGGACAGGCCCGACTCAAACCTGCACGTCGAGCCTGCCTGGTGTCTTTGCGTTCGAGTCGGGCCTGTTGGGGGCGGGGATGCCCGGGCGCGGGCTCGCGCCGCCCGAGTCCGGGGCCCCGCTCACCACCTGCCTCGCCTGCGCCCCGGGGGACGTTTCTAGTGGACACCCACGCCGCGTCCGCGCCTCCCGGACCCAGGACTTCGCCTGGAGAGAGAGAGCACCTGCAACGGAAGGTGGTGCAGGGCAGAGGGAGGGGAGGGCCAGGGATGAGGAGGAGGAGCGAGGAGGGAGGAGGAGGTCCGAGGACGGCTGGGGAAAGAGAGTAAGAGAGGAAGGGGGGGGGGAGGGAGGGAGTCGGCATGGCGGGAGACTCGCCTCCAAACTGGACACGGCGACTCTCCATCACGGGACCTCCGCTCTGCCTGCGCGTTCGGCGGCATGGAGGGGCCACCTCGGGGTTGCGCCCATCGCCGAGGCCCGGGCGACGCAGTGAGAAAATCGTGCAAACTGTTGGAGGCCGCATGTCGGCTTCGTGTTACATGTTGGTCAACCTTACCGGCCTCGAACGTATCCCTATCCCTAAGATTGACACGCCAAAAGGCGATGACAATCTTAGGGATTCGCCCTCAAAAAATAAGGGAATCCCTAAGATTGGCATCGTGATGAGGAGGTGCCCAGCATAGGGATAGGGAAATGTTCCAGGCTGGTAAAAACCCTGAGGACCGGCGCTCGCTCTAGAACTCCTACAGCGGGCTGGCCAGACGGATAGGTCATATCGACGCGCTCGCCCCGCACATGTCATCGATGGCAGCTGTAATCAACGCCTGCAGAGCCGCGGGCGCCCTTGCATGTAGATGGAGGCGTCGACATCGCCGACGGCCCGCCGGTGGTTTTGTCGGTGTAGGGCCGTTTCGCAAGTGGAGACAAGCGAATCGCGCTCCCCGTGGAGTGCCAGTCGGTGGCGAGATTGGTGACGGCGTAGCCGAGCTCACGGATAAAACCTGAGCGCCCCTTTGGGGAGGATGCGGTTTGGCGACCACATTATTCCTCCCAGCCCCCGTTATTCTGCTTCGGCGAGGGGCCTACACAGGCGCCCCCTCCCCTGCTCGACTGGCGACTGACCAGGATCAGTGACCGTCACCATCACCCCTGAGAAAACTGCATACACAATCCACTATGCAGGGCGCACCGCGATCACTTTGCATTGGTTTCTGGCAAGGACGGCGTGTGAACCATCATAGTTCCCGCTGTGCACAAGTCCACCTTCACTGCCAAAACGGATGCAAACTGACTACGGGCGCACAAACAGTACAAAATACTGGCAACCCCGCCGTCACGTTCCTTTTGTTTTTGGCAGAGACGGTGGGGTGGGGGTCCGACATTTTGACCGATGTGCGCTGTGAGGGAGCGCTGGCGCACCTGCCGAACTCTGCGCGCGACGCGCACGTAGCGGACCCTGCGCGGTTGGAGCACGTGGTTCTCTGGACGACTATGGGGCACGTGGCGCATCGCACAGCCGGGTCCATGGGGTCCCTGGCGCACCCGGTGTGCGTGGCGCACCCGGCTGGCGTCTGCACTGGTTCCCAATGGCTGTCGCTGGCCATCGCTCGGACGTCCATTCTCTGTGTTTTTTTCGGTTTCGTGCGTGGCTTTTTCGCCAAATCATCAAGGATGCTCCTCGATGGTCCTCGCCGAAGAAAAAATGCACACGTCCGAGCGATGCCAAGGTCGACGGCGACCGCTGCCTGTGCCGAGACCTGTGCCCCGTGACATTGTGCGGTGGGTGGTAGGGAGCGGCGATGGGGGCGAGGCGTGGGGCACGCCGAGCTGGAGAGCAACAGCTGGAGAGAGAGAGAGAGAGAGAGAGACAGAGTCGCAGCGGCTGCCTGGGACGGGCACGGGGAGCCAGACCCTGACCTTCCAGGAGGGCTAAAAAATAGCACGCGGCTTAAAAACCTATCCCAGAGCCATTCTATGTCTTGGTTTTAGGCTGTGTCGTTTCGTTTCTTAGGTTTTAGGCCTCCCGTGCTAAAAAATAGCTCTCTGGAAGGTCAGGGGAGGAGGAGGGAGGATAGAGTTGTGTAGGGAGGCATGCGGACAAGGGAAGAGGAAAACGAGGGGGGCTTTTTGACCAGACTGACGCCGCCAACTGCACGGCGGGCCCTGTGATGCGCCAAACGGTCCAGGAACGTGGCACAACGGCCCCTCAAGTCAGGCGAGGGGGTAACACCCACAGAGGCCTTCTAAATGGGATCGGACTAGATGGGGTCGGGGGATGGCGCCGCATCGCCGATGCATCGGCGATGCGTCGCCGATGCGTTGGCGATGCGCTGGCAACGTCGGCGATGCATCGGCGCCGTCGGCGTGGAGAACGCGCTCCACATCGAGCCGCATCGCCAATGCATCGGTGATGCAGCGCGATGCATCGGCGATGCAGCCCATCTGGGAGGCCGAGAACCCAGAGGTCCGATATCTGGATTCTTTTCAATGCGGGGCCCTGGGAAACCCCGACCCGTCTCCCAGGGCTGCTTTTTTGATCCTGCGTCGTTTTGTTGAAAGTCTCGGTGGCCCGCCCCAGCACAAGTGCACATTGACAGCTGCTAGCACGTCGCAGCTCCCTTAGCGTACACATCGCAAAGGCGTGAGAGCGAAGGACAAAAACCGCACCACCTGCCGCTTCCACCAGGGCGTGGACAACAGGGTACAAAAGCGGGTGGCGCTACCGACAGCGCATGAAAGGATGAGGCTTGGCCAATGTGTACTGGCGGCATGCGGCTGAATGGGAAGAGCAGCCGTAGCACTCGAACTCAGCAGGGGGAAGTGAAAGAGAACCATCAGGAGGAAGGCAACGACGACGAGGCAGACGATGTACAGTGGAAACCGCCCGTCGTGTTTGTGTCACGGCGCGAGGGTGTCTGGGCAAGGGAGAGCGTATGCCAGGTCGGGGATCTACTGACCCAGGTCAATGCAAACCCGGGTCAGTCAGGCCTTGCAGGATCCTCCAGGATCCTGCACGCAAACTGGGGTCAATGTTCCCCTGCCTCTGCAGGATCCTGCAGGATCCGGCGTTCTGGTTTATCCCCTTTGCATTGACCCCCGTCTCTTGAACCCAGACAAAGTGACCCTCCCTTCCCCCCGGTCGGTGCTCCTCCTCGTCTGCGCCCAGCTCTTCTTGGTGGGCTGCTGCAGCAAGAACGCGCCTTCGCCGCCGCAGGCCGAGGAAGGAGACGACAACCGACTACGGCCAGACCTAGGATAGAAGAACATCCTTCAAGAACATGAAACCCTCTGTCTTACCAGCCTGGAACATATCCCTATCCCTATGTTTGACATCACCTCACCTCGATGCCGATCTTAAGGATTCCCTCAGTTGTTGAGGGCCTATCCCTAAGATTGTCCTCGCTTTTTGCTCGCCCATCTTAGGGATAGGGATACGTTCGAGGCTGGTTGCTGTCGATCTAAACTGAAAAAAAAAAACATTCGAGGCTGCCCTCCCCCAGGATGCACAAGAACATCCAACAGCCACGAAGGACCATCAGAGCACCCTCCCCGAACCGACCTCGATGTTATAAGCCAGTCCGACCGTGTGGTACAGGAACAAGCCAAGCTCGAACCAGTAGTGAGGAGGAATGAGGAAGGGCAAGGCGATGAAGGCGAGATGAAAATGGGTGCGGATTGTCGCACCCGAAGGGGGGATCCTGTTCGAGCGGGGACCCCCCCTCAGACAACACACGCCAAAACCCCTGAGGAATTCCACCCCATGAGATCTGGGCGTCGCACGCAGAAGAGTTGATTCGTGAAAGTATTCTCATCGTGATACCATACGGGATTGGGAACGAGAAACGAAGGGGCTGTTCTGTCCACGGCGAGCCTCGGCCACGCATAGGTTGTCCGAGTAGATCTAAGAAACGGCCTGGAAGCCAGAGCCAGTCCTGAGCCTAGCGTGGTACTTACGTCAACGTCTTCACTGTAGTGTGACGATGATGATGGTGATGATGATGGTGATGCTGCTGCTGATGATGCGGATGCTCCTGATGATGACGCATGCGATAATCATTATGAGGATGCTGATGATGATACTGATGGTGATCATGATGGTAATGCTGTGGACGGGATGGTTCAGGAGACTGGGAAGCGAGGGAAGAACGTATGCACCCAGCCACGCTACGTACATGGATATGCCCCCCCCACCTCGCGAGGCAGACCCCTACGTGCGGAACGCTCGAGCAGCGCGCTCTCTCGAAACCCGTCCGAATCCATGCACGCGTACGTCTGTGCTTCGCTCCTGTATGACGGGGGACGAGGAGAGAGTGATGAACGGGAGCACGATGATGAGCAGGACGAGCAACAGGAGAACGAGCAGGTGTAGCATTCGCGTGAGCCTGCGAAACATTTTGTCAATTCCCTCTTCACTGTTCCCCCCTGACTCGCCTGGTTCACCTCGTTCACTTCCTTCTTCACTCTCGTATCTTCCCGTTCGACCGCTCTGGGACCTCACCGTGTTTGTGTTCCCCTATCGGCTATCTCTTAGAAACACCTGGGAGGCCAATACCTAAAGAATGAAACCCGAGCCCCTTCCGAATCAAGTAGTTCTCATTCGGCGACGAGTCTGGGGGGGAAATGAGAGGGGGCGGGCCCTCTAAACCTTCCCCTGAGGAAAACTTGTCATAAGGCGCGAGGGCTCCTGAGAAGTCCCGCCGCCTTCTGAGAAGGCCTTCTCCTTCTGACGTCCCCCCATCGCTCGCCGCCGACTCATACCTACTCCTGTGAGATGGCCGCAGGTCCTGGGGTATCCAGGCTGTCCAATGGGAGTGCCCTGGCACTTCTTAGGGGAACAAAAAGTGACATAAACATAAAAACTCGGAGGTCCGCGCGGACTTCTCGGATCGGCGCTGGGGTCCCCCGGCGGCGCCTCCGGCGCCGCCCCTGGCGCGCTCCGCGCGCCAGGGAAGGGGGTCCAGCGCCGATCCGAGAAATCCGTGCGGACCTCCGAGTTTTTATGTTTATGCCACTTCTTGTTCCCCTACTTCTGGCGGCGGAGGCCGCCCCGGCCCTCGGCGGCGAGCACTGCCGCTCCGGGAGCGCCGCTCTCGGGCCCACTGCGCGGAGGGCCCCCGAGGAGAGCGCCGCGAGGACGGGAGAGGAGCCTCCGGCCCTCTGCCCTCGGGGCCCCACCCATACGCCTGTTCGCATATCTTTTTATTGCCCGGACTCCCTCCCCCGAAACCGTATATGTATGTATTTATGTATGTATCTGTATATGTATAGTTATGTCGTCGAATTATATAAATATATGTTTATAGATGTATGCATGTATGTATGTATGTGTATATATATATGTATAAATATCGATTCCTATTCTCATATTTATATTACCCGGATCCCCCCCTAAACCGGACTCCCCCCCCCAGGGATGCCCTGTACGTCCTTTCGGACGTCTCGGCGGCTCCCTGGACGCCCTTCGAAAAGGTCCGCTGGCCCTTCCGGGCCTCCCAGGGCGCCTTGCCGGGCCTTGCGAGCGGACTCAAGGCGATCAGAGGGGTCATCGGACAGGCGCAAGAGAGACCCAAGACAGCACGAGAGCGCTCCAAGAGGAGCCTCGATGGTCTGAAGACTACGGGGTGCTCAGACAACAGCACCGAAGCCAGGCAAGACCATGGCGGTGCTGGAACAAATCAAAACCATCACACCTGCGCTGGCAGCCCGGCAAGACAAGGGCCACGATGCATGGCGAAAGAAGAACATGACTCGCTTGAATTCCCCGGTTGCTCCCTTCGAGTGGGGCGTCTGGGCTGGGAGCTCTGGGACCAAAGACTGCGCGCACGACTTGTATGTTCTGGTAGTTTCGGAGTGCGTTTCCCCCTGAGGTCTGGGTCCATGGATGGATCTGGCGACAAGATAAACAACAAGACAAACTGGCCTGTGGTCACGAGCAAATGCTGTCTCGTGTAGACGCATCCTGCAAGCGGTCCTCGCATGTACCGTACAGCTTTCGACCGCTGATGGAAGTGAGCGACGCATGCCCACGTGATTGATGCGGTTTTCGCTTTTCCGCCGAAGAACTGTGTAGGGTTCGCGAGAGAAGGTGCTGGTTGCGCAACGCCCCCACGCCTGTAATATCAGGCGTTGCCGACTCCATACTCGCCACCCACCGAATCATCAGCCGAGAGATTCAGACCACCGTTCACATCCATGTACCAAGAAGGCAACGCGTGCTCTCTGTCCCCAAACCGCGATTAATCTAAAACCATACCACCAAGCTCTCCACTGTTATGTCATACGTTGTCTTCTGTTCCGTCTTGGAAACTGGTGTAAAGTAACATCCGATGATGCCGACAGCCTGCTCTTGCTGCCGCACCATCACACAGCCTGCCACCGCTGATTGGGAACCGGACGAAGAATTACGCTTGACTAAACGCTTCAAAAAACGGTGCCTCTTGAGCATGATGCATATACCACACGACGGAATGACGAGAGGCCCACGTTTGTGGTCGAACCTGTAGCATCAAAAGGAGTCGACGATGAGCTCTGGCTCGACAAGCTCGCCTGAGCTATGCAGTTGGGTCCCGCCTAGCAAGATCGCGTCGTAGGCGGGGCACTCCGCGGAAATGTCAGCATCCTGGACTTGCGAGATGCCGAACACGTGTTGTAGCCAACGAAGCCGGAGAAACCTGTGGAGGAACTCATACGTGCGCCCTCGGGCACACCGCCGCCATTGCTGCGTGGCGGGAGTGCCGTTGCAAATGTGCGATTGATGTGGCGCTGAGCCGTTCGCAATCATTCGGGTCACCTAGGGGAGGAGGACGAAGAGGGGGAAGAGGAGGAAGAAGAAGAACAGGAGGAGGAAGAAACGGAAGAGGTTGAGGAGACGGAGGAGGAAGAGGAAGAGGAGGGGGAGGAGGAGGAGGAAGAGGAGAAAGAAAAGTAGGACGAGGAGGCGTAGGAGGCGTAGGAGGAGGAAGAGGACGAGGAGGAGGAGGAGAGGAACAGGAGGAGGAGGAGGAGGAGCGAGGAGCAAGAGGAGGGGGATGAACGGAGGACGGAGGGCGAGGAAAGGCCAGGATGAGCGACAGTGCTCGCAGCAAGAAGCGGTGGCGGAGCGAACTCGGCGTGCGGGCGGCGGCCCGGGCCTCCGGGCGCCGTGACGATGGCCGCCCTGCCGTGCATGTCCTTCGCGCCGGCGCCGGTGGCGGCGCGCAAAAAGGAGGAGTGGGGGAGGGGGATGGACAGACCCCCCTTTAGCAAAATGTGGTTTAGTGAAAACGACCTGAGGCCCAAACCTGGCGGGCGCAAGCCTGGAAAATATCGGCCACGGCGCCCTCTCGAAAACCGAAAACGGACAATTCACTAATCGACGTGTCACTGTTGGGGGCTCTGTCCAACCCCGAGACTGCTTCTTGGAAGGAGGCTGCTTCTTGGAAGGCGCCCTCCTCACATCCACGGGTAGAACCCGCGCCTGCAACGAAGCAAGGGTGCTTCGAAGAAGCCTCGCCCCTTCCCCGTGCCCTCCTCTACGCGTGGCTGATCCGCCCGAACAAGAGGCGGTCGCCCCAGTGCTTCTGGTGCGCGCGGGCTGGCGGGGGGAGTGATCCGCAACGTTATCTCCCGCCTCTTGCAACAAAGCCTTCGGGGTCGCCCCAGTGCCTCCGGTAGCGCGCGGGGCGGCGGGGGGACCGATCCGCAGAGGTCCACTCCGCCTGTTGCAGCAAGGCCGTCGGGGCCGCACCGCGCGAGAGGTCGGGCGGAGTCGTGGCGGCCGCTCAGGCCCAGCCAGAGCAGGCGCGACAATCTCCTCCTCCTCCTCCTCCTCCTCCACCTCCGCCAACCCCGCCCCGTCCTCGTCATCACTCTATACGTCGCCTACGAGTATCCTCATCCTCCCCCTGCTCTGCCCCCTGCCTCTGCTCTCCTCCTCCTCCTCCTCCTCCTCGGCCCCCTCGTCTTCGGTATCCCTCCTTCGTTTCCCACGCGCCCCCATCGTTGGTCTCCGCCCTCACCGCGGCCCCCGAGGCTCTCCATAGGAACCAGCACCCCCGGCGAGGGACCTCCAAGGCCGCCATGGGCCGTCGCATCATCTTGCCCCTCCTCGTCGTCCTCCCTGGTCACTGGCTGCCACGCTGAAAGGCTGCTACCGCTACCCCATGAAAGACTTGCAAGAGAGAGAGAGAGAGGCAGAGGGAGAGAGAAACAACATATCCGCCGACGCTGTCGGCGTGTGGAATGGGTTGTTCGTCGTGGTTGTTGTCCTCGTATGTACTCGTCGTATTCTTCTCTGGGTCCGTCGCCGCTCCCCCCCTCTTTCCCTGGGCCCTCGTCCTCAAGCGCGCCAGCCAAAGCGAAATGAAGCAACCCAGCCAAAGCGAAGTTAACAACGTTGTAATTTGGTCAAAGGGAAGCCCCATCCCTTTGATCACTTCCCAGCTGGGGGGAGGGGGTAAGGTCCTGGGGGGGGTCCCGGATCAGAATACCATCCCCCGTTTGCGGCATTTGCAAGAGGAGGCCTCTGTAGATGCCCTGGAGGAGGGGGGGTCGCCACGACGGATCCGCAAGAGCGCCCCTAGACGGTGTAAGCCCCACAAGACAGCCCAAGAACGCCGAAGGACGGCCAGAGGAGGCCCCCAGACGGGTCGAAGGAGCCCTAAAAGGACTCTCAAGAAGGCCCCGGGGGCCCATATCACATTGATTTTCGGCAAGGTGTTGTCCCCGCCCTCTCCCTCCCATTTCCGTCGAGGGCCGAGGCCTCCAGAATTGGCTGCTCCTACTCGTTTCCTCTCGCTGCTCCCCCACTCCTCCTCCTCCTCTTCCTCCTCCTCCTCCTCCGCACTCCTCTCGCTGTTCCCCCACTCCTCTTCCTCCTCCTCCTCCTCCTCCTCCTCCTCCTCCACCTCCTCCTCCTCCTCCTCCTCCTCCTCCTCCTCCTCTCCTCCTCCTCCTCCTCCTCCTCCTCCTCCTCCTCCCCCCTCCTTATTCTCCTCACTCTCCTCCTCCTTCCTCCTCCTCATCCGCCTCCTCCTCCGCATTCGCCTCCTCCTCTTCCTTCTCCTCCCGCCCTGCTCTCCATCCTCTGCCTCCTCCTCCTCCTTTTCCTTCTCCTCCTCCTCCTCCTCCCTCCTCCTCCTCCTTCGCCTCATCCTTCCCCCTTCGTCCGCCTCTTCCCTCATCCGCCTCGTCCACCCCTCCTCTCCCCTCTCCCCCCCCCACTCCTCTCCTCCTCCTCCTCCTCCTCCTCCTCCTCCTCCTCTTCCCCCTCCCTCTCTCTCCTCTCCTCCTCCTCCTCCTCCTCCTCCTCTTCCTCCGCTTCCTCCTCCTCCTCCGCCTCCTACCCCCCCGCTCGTTTTCATATTCGTCGTCTTCAGGGTCGGCGGCACCGGCCTCAAGGCCTTTTGCAATAAAGAAATTAAGTATCTTGCACAGGGTGTCTAGAGCTCCGACCACTTTAGTTCGACATGGCACCCCCTCCATCACACACCCATTCCACCAGCCAGCGCGCCCCCAGCGGGCCCCCATCTCCCCCACCCCATGCGCCCACCAACCAGCCAGCGCGCCCCCTCCGCCCCAACTGTTTTATTTCGGCCCCCCGCCCTCCCCCATCCCACGCGCCTCCCCCCCCCACATCCCCCCCACCCACCAGCCAGCGCGCCCACTCCGCCCCGACCTTTGTATTTCGGCA